CCACGAGTGAGAGTTTAGTCACGAGTGAGTTCGAGCCCGTGACTAGTTGAACCTTAAAGTGCATGTTTATGGTATGACTGTACGAAGCTCGCACGGATCGAGACGAGCTGCTCCGAAATTGGACGAATACGTAAGCAGCTGTATATAGGTGCATAGGTATCTATCATCTATGTACAACAGTGAATAGCTGTACGCATAAAATTTGTGTTAAACTGTTTAAAATATGAATTAACAAAGTACTGCATAAATAAAATAAATAAATAATTATAATTGCATAAGTTGATAAAAAATGCTATGCAGCCTTACCGCGGCAGTCCCCGAGTGCCACACGTTTTTTTTTCTTCAAACGCTCGTGGCAAAGTACGAAGAAAACTTAAAACCTCTTAAAAATCACTGAGAATAAAAAGCGACAAAGGTTTTATTTCAAACTCAATTTACTTTTAAAACAAGCATTTCAATTACTAATGTCCGTAGTTAAACAAGTAGCAATTTATTCAACAGCACTCGATCCAAGATTCCCATGCAAAAGCACTAAGTGGCACGCGAGGATAGAACGGGAAATAAATCACTGAACAATAGGTTTACTCGTTCAACACGTCCAAAGCTTAAACTAATACCTGACCATTTTTAAACACTGGGCCAATACAAATAGCGACTAGGTACTTTTTAGGGTTTCGTACCCATAGGTAATAATGGAACCCTTATGATGTCACTCTGTCGTCTGTCTTTACATTTATCCGTACGTCATGATGGACATCTAGATAGGATACGGAATGAGTTACAGAACTTAAATTTTGGTATTTCTATGTAGTATGCTTGCCCAAAGTTGAATATTTAGTTAAACATTTTATTAAATAATTTTTCATGAGGGTTATTATTTTTAAAGGAAACGATTTTTTTTCCTTTTTACCCTAGCATGTGACACATAATTACCTAGAGCTCTTTGAGTAGGATTTATATATTAGTTTTTTCAATAACAAAGACATGGGGGCCGTCAAAGTTGTCATTTAAATACCATTTTTCTTACGAGACCTATCCAAAAATCTTAACTAAAAAACATGAATTTTAAGAATGTGCAAATTTAGTATATGATGTCCAATATGCTGTATTTAAATAAAATACTGAAAACGCCGATTCATATTGTAGGTACTACATAAGTTGTGACCAAAACAAATAAATATTTTTTTCTTCCGCGGTTTGTTGTACGGGTGCCCTTGTGCGCGAGTCCGATCTGGACTTGGTCAGCTTTTTTAATCAATAGTTATAACCGGAAATTACAATAAGAAGAAAAATCTATAAAACTTGCCATAGCCCATAAACTATTATCTGTTTTATTGTAACGAAAGTTTATAAAACAATAGTTATGGTACACCCAATCGACTACTGATATATCATCATTGAAATGTAGTAGGAGTACCTTTATTGCTATTTAATTTGCCTCATATTATTTAATTTTGACAGTCTCTTTTGCGTGCATAGCATATGACAAAATCTTGTACAAATCATTTTTAAAATAGTTATCAAAAATCAAAATGTCTTTATTAAATTTTTCACTGCCGTAACTGTTCAGTTCAGGACAGTAACCAAATAACTCACTTTACATAAACCACAGAATACATTAATGTAGTATAGGTCCTAAACACTCGTCTTGCGCTGTTATGCACAGACAGAACCGACAAAGGCGCGCTTTTTTAAAGGCTGTGGAAAATATGGATGGCGTTCCCATTGTGCGACCCGCTTTATTCTGATCTTTTTACTTCTCATGTCCTTATTTTTGTGTTGAAAGGATTAACAATAGTACAGGTACCGCACGTTTATCATGACTCGCATAATTTTACTGCGGTTCTGTTTTTGATATTATTATGCTTTGAATATTTTTCAAAGGACTTTCTTTTTTCATTTTCATTGTAGTGAATCGGTCGACTGTATACGCCCCTCCCGCCATTTCACGTTTTAGCGTTTCTCATATTTTGTCACCTGTTTCTACATGTTTAATGATTTTTGTAACCATGTGTGCTCACATAGAGCCCGTCCACTGCTGTGATTTTCATACGATCTACTTTTGTAACTCTGAGTAAACTCGTCCAATTTTTTATTGTAGCTCTAGTGTGCGTATCGAATGCCGCTAGTTCACTGACTAAAACTGTTTTTGTCACCGGAGCTAGGAAATTTCTAAGCATTTATAGACCGGGCGCTAGAGGAAAGTGAGTATGCAAAATGTGAGGAATGATTCCACCAATGGATTTAAGTTAAAAAAAGGTCAAAGATTAATAATGTGGATCTTGCCGGGCCATTGTTTTACCCCCTCTACCCTTATCTGCAAGGGTGATGTATTGAGTGAAAATGAAAAATATTTATTCTGTAACCAAATTAAATTAACATAAAAGTTATTGAAGCACTCTTTTAGGTAAACATATCCCTGTAGAATGCCTCGCTCTCTCATAAATCACAACTTGTTTACAAAAAATATATATACACACCTATCTCAAACTAATTAATTAAAGAAAACTAAATACTTAAATAACAAAAATCATGTATATATCCACTATTAAGCCTAATCTTATACGACTTATATTGAGTACATGATATCAAATGTTTTTAATGATTATTTCAGTTATAATTTATAGTCTTTTCTAATGGTAAAGTGAGGATGGATTCTTGAATGAAAACGAAAACGAAAGTAAAAGTAATACACATGTACTAAATACATTCCCTTTACAAATAACAGTAGAGGGTGTAAAAAAATGGACCAAAAAAATTATCGGCTAGATCCATTTATTAATCTTTGACCTTTTTTTTTAACTCAAATCCATTGGTGGAATTAGGCCATCACATTTTGCAAACTCTACCTCCTCTAGCGCCTACACTATTACTCATTTATGTCGCTACTTCACGTATTATGCTGTTCTGTACCCTTAGCACGAACCATTTTCGAATTCGAATAGATTGCGAGTCCGAAATGTCATTGTCAAATTTTGTATGAAAACTTGAATAGCAGCGCCATAACGTACGTAACGAAAACTAAAAATCAGTGCACATTTGACAATGACATTTCGTACTCACAAACGATACGAATTCGATATTGGTTCGTGCTAAGGGTACTGTTTAACCTACTATATAAAACACACACAACTACAATTTTCCTGTTTTATGTACTGCTTGAAGAATAAAAAAAATATTGATCATTACAAGACCTATGTTATTTATATACTGCGTTACTGTTTACCCGCTTACTACATTAGCCTGTGAAATTTAACGACATCAGTCATATTTGTTGGTAAACGCATACCATCCCTTAGATAAATATGAGGAGTGACCTTTCAAAAAGCCTCAATTCCATTTAGATAAAATTTTCAAAAACTGAAAATTTCTGTGGTGATTACAAAAGATCCGGTTTCTTTTTTTTAACTTCAGTTAAGTAATGTTTGTTATAACTGAATATATACAATGGAAGAAAAAAATATCTAAGTGAGACTTGATTTTTTAAAGAAATTAATTGTTTGGAAATATGGCCTTTTGATTGAAACTTTTGAAAACAAGACCTTTTGTATGGACGTCCATAGGAAATATGACTTTCTATTTAACAGTGATTTGTAAAAGAGACCTTTTGAAAACCTCATAATTTGGGAGAAATAAATAATAATCACACTAATATTATAAAGGCGAAAGTTTATTAGTGTGTGAGTGTGTATGTTTGTTACTTCTTCACATCTAAACGGCTAAAGCGATTTTAATAAAATTTGGTATGGAGTTAGCTGACACTCTGGATTAACACATAGGCTACGTTTAACTTTGATAAAATATCCCTAATAAACCGCAGGTAACACCACGGGGCACAGCTAGTATGATATAAATGAAATGTAGTTTCTTTAATTAAAAATAAATTTTAAGCGCTAGGAAACATTATTCTTAAATTCTAAAGAATGACATATCTTCGGGTTCATTGCATTCACATTCTGCATCATGCTCATGAGATTCTGTATAACATCTTCAATAATATTTTTATACCAGATGAGATCAGATTGACAAGTTGTCAAACAATACACTATGGTCACAGTGATACCGTGAAACTAAATTATAACAACAGGCTTTATTCCAAATTCTCTAAAACATTCGGCCATGTTTTAATAACTATTAAATAGGCCCTTTTGTTTAAATTTCTTTGAAATACTACAAATTTATGCAGGAAATGTGACGTTTTGTTTAAATTGAATTAACCGCTTGTTCATACATGGAATTATGCCGGGTTTGATAGAAATACCTGTATTGGAATCCATTTTTAGTTAGGAAAGAAGGCTTTCTGTGTCGTTCTATTGACGTAAATAGGTGCTATTAAGCCTTGCCAACTAGATTCCTTCGAAACTCCTCAATTGTAAAGTGCATTCAACGAGTGCACGAGGTATAACTTACAAACATCAATTTCATTATCTCCAACTTATATATTGTTGCATATTTTTATTGATATTGTATATAACGTTTGTGCTTATAAAATATAACAGTTTAAATAAAAGTCAGATTTCATATATTTTAGATACGTAAGGCTTTTTCTTAGTGCTATTTGTAGTTGGATAAAGGTTACGTTCCTATATTGTCTATAAAGTGAGTGTCTACAACTTTCTTACCATCATTAAGAATTAACTACTTAGGTTAGAATGGTAAGGTCTTGATCGGAGAACTTTGACAATTATGACTTACTTGCTATGCTGCTAGTCGTACAGAAAATGTGTGAATCAACCATTCTCCAACGGTACACCTATGATACCCATACAATTTGTAATATACCGATGGTATGTTATAATTATCGCGTCGGTATTTCAGACAAGCAACGCTTTTTTTAAATTACTAATAATTACTTTATTCTACTCTCTCTCTATTACTAATTCAGCGTACATAAATTTCTATTCTGACACTCCAGCCCCAACTAAGCTAATTAAAACATCAGCCTTAATTAACTCCTAATAACATAATTTTGTTTCATAGTTTCATTATCTTTGTTTCAGCGTGCAACAGAACTTACATGGGTGACGTGGGGCGAACATATGAGCTTGAAGTCAGGAGGCCTAGAGAGGATCACCTGCCATTCGTTTGTCACCTGAACTTTACAGCGACAGGTGGCAACTATGGAGATATTATACAGGTAAAGACAATCATGGTTTGTAATTGGAAAAGTTAAGAATCTGATCTCACCCACAGCCAAGTGGAGCTCGGTAACTTTTTAATGTCTGATTACCTGACCTTATGCATATTTCAAGCACCGAGGGAGCGAGAAGAAGGTATCTGGGACTCTTCCCTGCTTTCAGCCAGCCCTTGGGCTGGCAGAAATGAACAGGTCCCTACCTAATACCCTGAACAGGGCCAATAATACTGCACCGGTTACCTGGCATACATTCTGAGGACCGCATGCTAGGAGAGCAGGTCTGGTCGCGGTAACTGATGCCGACTGTGTGCGCGGAGCTCGGTAACCTGAAACACTGCAATACCATCATAATCACTGTAGGAATACAATTCCAAAAGAACAATATTATTTGACTATAGTATTATGCAGCCTAAGTGGGAAATCAGTTATTCCTACCTATCTTAACTTCATAATGATAGAGAACGTTTGTGGGCAACTTACCACCTTCCGAGCTACGGGGGGCAGAGGTTACTCTGTAATTTAAGGGTTATGTACCATTTTTTTTCGATGACGAGGTAATTGATGCTTTTTACCAATGGGAACACCACATGCTGCAAGCAATTTAAGAACCAACAGTCCAATATTCTATTGAATATATTCTATTGTATATTGGACTGTCATGGTATATACGGTTTTCTGAATGGTATACCAAGGGCCAGTTAGTAACAGTCACTAGAGTAAAAAATGTCTATAAGCTATAGGCTGTGACTTGTTTACCCTACTTTTCATATTATAACTTTTGTTCCAGCTAACATTTGATACATTCACGGTGGGGAAGTTCGTGTCGTTCACATCGGATGGTTGCCCCGACGGACATATGACGATAGTGGAGAGGAGTCCCTCTCCCCCCACCGGTCAATGGTGTGGGTCCGCTTGGGGATACACAGTATACTTCAGTGAATCAGACTCCATAAATATGACGCTGAGATTAGACAGACTGAGTCAACAGGTAAGCAGATTTTAGTAAGTATTGATCATGCAGACCTTTCACAGCCATTTTTTTTCTGTACTTAGTATAAAATAATAAAGGTTTTGAAGTTTTTCATACTTTTATTCATTAGAAAAATTATACAAAATTTTTGGGTAATGGTTTTTTTATAGCATGTTATTTTTTTTAAGTGTCTATTTTAGAAAATTGATCCTAATCTGAACTTATTAAGGTCCTTATGTTCTAAAGAACATAAATACATATCCAATATTTTAACCCAATGTTTATATTTGCTTCCTCACTAATTCAACATAGAGCTGAGGCGACACCATTAATAACACTAGTATATAATTATAGAACGACAGGAATTCACCTGAACTTTGAATATTGAAGTACCGATGTTATCATTAGCGAGTTGTATTTAAGTTACGGCGTCGGAGGCATAATTACTGGTGACATTTATTTCACGCTATGATTGAAAATAACGCAGAACATCGTCGTCATCATCATCATTAGCCTAATAATGTCCCCACTGCTGGGGCACAGGTCTTCCCTGTAGATGTAGTAGGGAGATTGGGCCATAACTCACCACGCGGGCTCAGTGCGGATTTGTGGGTGCCAACGACTTCAAATGCAGCTAAAACCAACGCCCTAATGTGCTTTCCGAAGCACAGAGGAGTTAGACATAGGAAATTTTTGGTCACCCATCCGATGCCTGACCATTGCAAAAGTTACTCAAGTTTAACGATCTCAGCCGAACGCGCTAACCACTTGCGCTATCAAGTTCCTCAAAGGTTACCAAGTTATATATTTTTTTATCAGTATCATAAATTGTCCGCTTATTTTGGGACAATAATAAAGATGGTGTACATTTTTCCCAATGGAAAGAGTCACGAGAATGAGCCATAATTCACCATGTGGGACCAATACGGATTGCAGTGCAGTAACGCCTTAAAGTGTTTCGGAAGCACGGAGATAGCATACCATAACTAAATTAGCTGAACTTTCTTCCACACTATTAAATACACTAAACATTCTGTAAAATTCAAAAATTACATATGCATAATTTTTATAAAAATTATCATTCTTTATGTCATTTCCACTCAATTTTCCAGACATTTTAATTAGCATTTTTTACACGCAATGTTAATCTGTATAAATGAACAGCCGTATCTATCTTCATTAAGAGTCACTTACACATCCCTTTGTGTTCCACTGACGTGATGTAACTAACTACATGTTTTCGCCTGTGACTCGACTAATATTTCACATCACCCGCTTTTAACGGTTCGATGCCTTCCTTTATCTTCTGTTAGCAGCCGTGTTATGTGCACCAAGGGTTGAACTTTCGATCAATTAATTAAGCGACGATTAGGACGCCCTCTGGGGGCCGCAAGGATAGGCCTTACTTACAATTACAATAATGGATGTTATTACCGGCTGATTCCGTAATTTAATAAAGGGAATTTGCTCTGGGTACCAGGATGAACTTTTGCTGCTAAAGAAATTCGGCTAGCAACTACGTAATTTATAAGCCAATCCAAGGAGTTTTCATTATGTTTAGTCGGATATCACGCAATGTTACGATAGGGGTTATCTATAATTTTCGAACGTTAATCAATTAGATACCTGCTATAAAAGCTACTATAATCAATTAATACCAAAGTCAAATAGGTATTAACTGAACAAAATATATTATTTATAGTAAATTAAATACAACCACGTTTACTATTGCTAGCGATATTGAATTACAAGATATGGCAAGAATAAAACGTTGAGTAGACAATTAGTCGATACAATGTTATATTTACGAGTGAATGGGTACGCGAAACTATCCAATTTAGTGATGTTATTTCCGAATGTAAATTTACAAACTTAATCGCGATGGAGTTAAAAATAAATTTTAGGGCATCTAAAAGTGTTAAGACATTGTTAAGATTAGACACGTACATGATTAGACAGCCAAAACTAATCGCTCCAGTGAAACAATAGCAAATGTATACATGATATTCCTTGTTCAAAATAACGTCATTCATATTCACATTGCATTACGTAACCACGCAACGCTGCACCAGAGTGAGAACTTCCCAGTAATAAAACAGTTACTGACAGCTCCGTTGGTTGTAGGGTGTTGGATACAATTTCGACTTCAAGTTGGCGTACAAGTTCCTGAGAAGGAGCGAGGCGCGGTTGCGGTATGGTAACGCGACGGTGGGGGCTTGGAGGGGGGAGCGCGTGCCGGGTACCTACTGCGACCGCATCCTGAGCGATTGCGACCTGCGCGCTTGCCGCATCCAGTCGCCCAACTTCCCTGGAGTATACCCTAGAAACGCTACGTGCACATATCGCATTGAACACACAAAGGTAAAATTAAATTTAAATATTTCTAACACTTCCACCAATTAGTCTAGCCCCATAGTAAGCTTGTGTTTAAGGATATTAGGGTAATGGATCGAATACATATGTATAGTAAGTATATTTTTATAGATTTGCATAATTATAAACTTCCATAATTTAGGTACAAATGCTCGTATAAATATATTTGTCCCAAAGAAAATATAACTAGAAAAAATTCCACGCGGACCAGGAAGCAGACAGGACTCGAACCCGCACCCTTCGCAATCCGGGCGAATGCACTGACCGAGGATTTTTTTCTAGTTATATTTTCTTTAGATTTAAACATCAAGCAGTTACATGCTTTAAAATAATAAAAAAACATATAACTATAATTGCTATTTATTTCTTCTTTTAAATGTTTAATACTTGTAAAAGTATTCATTTGACATTGTTGGGTTACCTATAATGCCAAGAGATGGCGCTTTCAGCTTAAGAATGGCTAGAAGAATTTCGACGCGGTCCGTGAGGGCCGCGGTAGCATAAATGGTTAGTGCATTCGCCCGGATTGCGAAGGGTGCGGGTTCGAGGCCCGTCTGCTGCCTGGTCCGCGTGGAATTTTTTCTAGTTATATTTTCTTTAGATTTAAACATCAAGCAGTTATTTGTCCCGCCGAGATTCAAACCTGGAAGTAGGTAACTCGGCGTATCTCTTATCTATTAGACAAGTCCGTCCGTCCGTCCGTCCGTGGTGCTGTTTCAGCGGCCAAACCGTAAGAGATAGATATAGAGAATGTTTAAGTTATAAGTTAAGAATAGTCTGATAAGACTACAAACCGGATGTGAGTAACGTAGCACTTCCGGTTTTCGAGAAATCACGTGATTTCTATTTCAAACCACACAAAATCTCCGAAGTTCTCAATTAATTAAATATATTTTTTTTTTAAATCAGGTTTTGGTGAACATTTGGTTCACTGGTTTGCTAGTATACATATATTTACTGTCCATATATTTTTGATAATATTTGCCTTGCTTAGTAAGAAGGAATGGGATAAGACGTAATTATGATGAATACGGAATTAACCACTTGGCCACGGTGGTCGTCCACATGTCGTTAACATTGTTTTATTAGAGTTGTTTTTTGGGTTTCATTTCAATAGACAAGTAGGTTGTGGCGCTCGGAGTCCTTTGACACTACGCACGAGGACCTGAGAAAATGGAATGAAAACACACGCTGTTGTTTTTAATTTAAACGATACTGTTCAGAAGACTCTCGAACTTTCAGGAAAGCGATAGAAGTACAATATTTATCAGCAATCCTTACAAACTGTAACGGTACTCAAAGACGTAAATTAATCTCTAATATAAAGGATATATATATATATCCTTATTTATAGAAGGCAGATATATAAAAAAGGTATATTATTCTATATACTTTTTATAGTTAGGTATGGATGTTAAGTGGGGATAAAGTCTAGACGCGAAGATAGCTGGTACAGCAGTTATAAACTGCTACAGTAACCATCCTCACCTTGCCGGCCTGCAGAAAAGCTTTCGTCATGTGTCTCCTAAAGGACCCCAGATTGTAAGAATGTGGAAACACGAGGTCCAGACAAATAATTCCACTCGCGAATAGTACGATAAAGAAATGAGTCACCAAATTTCTTTGTTCGTGTAGGAATAGCGGCCACAGTAAATCTGTGACAACGTAGACCAGCATGCGTGGTCCTCTGAAAAGCGGGTGGAGGGATAAGTGAGAATAACTCTTCAGAACACTCGCCATAGTATAGACGGTGGTATGATGCCACATCGCGGCGTAACTGTAGAGGGTCGAATTTGTTACTTACCTCTTCATTGCTAATGATGCAGGCTACAACCTATCCAAGGTATCGAGTAAATACTAAGCGGAGCCATCCCAGAGGTGCGAACAATATTCCATGCAGGACCGCACTTGCGTTTTAAATGTGTACAGCAAGCATAACTGTGCTTGTTGTATAAACGTTTTTTTCAAACTGACCAGTTGTGAAAATAACACCAAAGGAAGGGTACAAAAGTAGATATAGGAGCTATACTTACATAAATATAAGAGAAGCAAAGAAATAGGATATTAAATGAATTTAAGATAAAGAAAGGAAATAACTTTTAACTTGATCGCTAAAGGAATTAAGCAAACGAGCCTTTCTGATACCCTCAGGAAGTGAATTCCAAAGTCGAGCAGCGTGCACAGAAAAAGAGTAAGAAAAGAAGTCAGAAGAGTGACAGGGAATCTCAAGAAGTAGGTTAGAAGAGGATCTCAGGGAGAGCTGTGAAGAAGAGGATGGAAATGAGAAACACTGCTTAAGATAAGGTGGGGAAGATGGCAGGAAGAGTATAGAATAGAGAACAGTTAGTGTGTAGATCTCTGCGCCGGCGAATAGGGAGTCAATTTAGTTTATTACGGAAGTGAGACACGTGGTCGAATTTACGGAGATTATAAATGAACTTGATACAAACATTCTGCAGTCGCCCTTATTTATTGAGGAGTTCCTCCGACAGATTGGTGTAGCAAACGTCAGCGTAGTCGATGATGGACAACAACAAAGAATTTGCCAAGTTGATTTTGGTGCTGATCGGCAAAAAGTTCCGCAACCGACTAAGGGAACCATAAGCAGCAAACACCTTTTTTCTGACCACCTCCACCTGTGGTTTCCAGGTGAAACTCTAGTCAAAGACAACACCCAAGTTTCTGACGGTTTCTGAGTAGGGAATAATAGAACCTTTCAAAATAATGGAAGGCAAATGATTAAAGTCGATCCTGGAAATAAAATAAGGACTACCAATTATGATGGATTGAGTTTTTTCCGGATTTAAGGTAAGACCAAATGACTCACTCCAACTACTTATAAGAGACAAATTTGTGTTGATATCAGAAATTGCACAAGAGAGGTCAGATAAAGGGGCCTGAGTGTATATCTGGAGATCATCAGCATAAAGGTGATATGAACATGAAAGTGACAGTATGATAGAGTTTATAAAGATAGAAAATAGAAGAGGAGATAGGACGCCACCCTGAGGAACACCGGCATTGATATCACACCATGAAGACAAGGTGTTGTCAATACGGATACGCTGTCGGCGGCCTAGCAGGTAACTTCGAAACCATTCAATTGCAGATGGAGATATGCTAAGTGAACCCAAAACGCCTAAAAGGATGTGAATATCCATGACTGGAGTGCAAATGCCCGTATTCATCACACAAACATCTGCCCCCAGCGGGATTCGAACGCGGGACCTCTCGAGTTGGCGACACCATGAAACCCGGCGTACAAACCACTCGACCACGAAGGTCGTCAACAATCATTAGGTAGTAAATTATAATGATACATTAATTGCCAATTAAAACTGATTCAATCATTCAATTTTATAATAAGAATGTTGAAATGAAATAAAAGCCTTATCGAATCCGTATGACCTAATTATTCATGTTGTGTTTGTAACGAAGTTTGATTGATGATACCCATACGGTGCCTTGTTGGAGACCGTCCTTGCGTTTGTCGTATCGATTGAATTGGAAAACGTACACAGCAAATTAATGAGAACGAAATATTCAAATGTATTCAGGTATTTAATTGAATCCGATCGCAACCTTTCTGCTAAAGATAACAAAGAGGATGATGTGATGAAAGCTTGTAGATATATGGTCGATAAAAGGGAATAGCTTAGTATTTACTGACTGCAGTATATCAAATTACCACAAAACGCAAATCCAGTATGGTCTTTAAATATTTTGGCATCAATGTTAGACAAGTAATCCTATTTTCACGCTGCTTTAATGACTCCATACAAGGCACGATGCACCATGGTTTCTCATTATTAGCCCGCCCATTGTGAATGGCACGGATTTACTGTTGTTATATAATATCATTGCCACGTACAATATAATAAATCCTGCGCGCGCGGCCATTACGTGGCAGTGAGAAATCAAAGTCCAGGCAGCATGCAGAAAGTGACGGAGTGACAGTCATAGATTAACTAAGGCACAGATTACGCTTACCACAAGAAAAAAAAAGTCGGAAAAGTGTAGTTCTGCCTTAGATTTATCCTATTTTGTTTAATATTTATCTTTATTTATTTTATGAAATGATATTTATTTATTTTATTTTTTTTTTTTTTTCAATCCTATGATTGATTTTATACAAATATATCGCATTTTGTTTGGCGTTCGGACGTCATAAGGCGCTGGCTGAAAATCAGCGCTGCTGTGGTATTGCGAAAGTACTACCACAGTAGCATAGCTGAGACAGCGACCTGTTGGCCCTGCACAGCAACACCAGCAGATTAGTTTAGTTGTTTTTTTTGTTTTTTTGTTTATTATTATTTGTTTTTTTTTTCTTCTTTGTTGTTATGTTGTATTTATGTTATTTGTTTTCAAATCTGTTTTGTTTTCAATGTATGTATGTTGTGCAACCAATAAATGTTTTTCTTTCTTCTTTCTTTCTTTCTTCTATTTTATGAATAAGCTGTGAAAGGCAACTTGACTTAAAATAATACGTTTAACCATTTTTACATTAATAATGTATTCAATCAAACATTCGTTGCAGACCAATATTGAGAGACAAAGATGCTGATTTTTATAAATAAACCTGAACATGAAAGACTTTGAAAAAATATTTCAATATAAAGAGAGGAGAATTACTTTTTAAACATTTTCATATTAAAATTTTAATTAAGAAAAGTAACTAAAGCAACTACAATCACGAAGTCGTAAGTTATACACCAGTTAAGTAAAGATTAAAACAAATATTACACGTAACTAAGATTTAGAATTTATCGAGAATATCTTAGTAGTAGGTAGTCATTATCTTTTAGCACTATATTTAGTGCTAAAAGATAATGACTACTAATTCTACTATAATTGACTATAATTGAAAAATAATGACAGTTTAGGGTTAATTGCGCTGTATTTGTCTATACAGGTATTATAAATTTCTGAAAATGAAATTCTAGTTTAATGAGACTAGACACTCGCAGTATATAGTAAATACTGGTGATATACAACTTATGGTTTAAAAACGACATAATCTTAAATCTGGAAAAGCTTATCACGTTTAAGACTCATTCTATCTCTATTTGACTTTAAGCAGTTGACAAAGATGGAATGATGTTTTGATCAGGAATAAGCCTTAATCTTAATCAAGAATGATGGTGTAAGTGGCACATAAAGTTCAGCACTGCAGCAGCGCTGTGTTTCAAATTGACACAATCGTTTAACAACCACGTAAACTTTGACTCGACGTTAGATGCAACTAAAATGTTTACATTTTCTTTGTACTTCGGTATTCAACAAAAAAAAACGTTAATTTCACCTCAAACCTTGACTTCCGCTCCTCATTACTAAAGTAAAACCAAGTCTGGAAATATTACTGTCACTAATGTTAGCTAAAGAGGAGACAAAGACAGCATTAGGTTTAAACCAAGCCTGTTACTGTATCTATATCTATTACATATTTAGGTTGATGCATATAGTTTTTCAGTTTGTATCATTTGACAGTAGAATAAATCATGCATCATCATATCAGCCGGTGGACGTCCATTGCTGGACATAAACCTCCGCTTGGGATTTCTTCACACAACGGTCCTCCCGCGTTCTCTGCGTCCCGTAGGTCCCCTCGGCTTGCTTTATGTCAACAGTCCACTTGGTGAGGAGTCTACCGACACTGAGCTTCCTGATATGTTATCGCTATTGAAGTACTTTCGGACCCCAACGTCCATCGGTCTAATGACCTTCACAGCGTCACCGAGTTTGGGGACGGCGAGATCCTAGGGGACCTCAAGCGGAGAATTGGCGAGTGCCTCTAGAGGTATTCCAGGCGGATGGCATTTCCCCACGGGGTAAGTCGCCACTCCGTCTAGATCCTCTAGACCACTCGAACCTGAGGGGGTCGGCTGAACTAGAGGGCGTCTCTGAGACTCGGATTTCGCCACTAGTTAGCCGTTGTCGTGGAGGGTGTCGAAAAACCTGTACCTTGTATAGGGGTGTAGACCGGGTCTTTGCATTCTTATCTTACGGGTGCAGTGTCTGCCTGTTTTCTAAGTATGTAGTGCTGGTGTTTGTGGCCTGTGTAGGAGGAGTCGGAGGCGTGTTGGCGCGGGGGAATTCGTCGTCGGGGTACACTAAGACGTGCCTAGGCCGACAGAATCGGATACGATACGGATACGATACCTACGATTGGAGGACGGGAGGGTGGACGTGTGATAACTAAAGGCTTTGAATACTAAGGGGTTCGAATGAATTGCGGCTTTATCGAAGTAACGTCTCGAGGCGTCCTTCATATACTTCGTGATAGAGTCTTACTTAAGATCGCGATGCAAATCGATGTTGCGCACGTAACACGGGCAAACCGTGGCACCTAGCACACTAGCGTTCATCATGATAGGGCGGATGCAAGTTTTGTAAATTGTCACATGCCTAAGTGACATTTACTACGCTTCCCTATGAGGTGGAATAGCCTGCCGCGAATGAATGCTGCACGATCACGAACTATCTTGAGATGAGCTGCAAACGTCAATCGGTTATCTAACGAGACTCCCAAGTACTTGACCCGGTCCTCCCAGAGGATGACCTGGTAAAATTATTGGATGCTCGGAAGAGAACGAGGCGGTTCGCGTCGCTTTTTTCCGGATTAAACTCGATACGTCATCTACGGAACCAATCGCCAAGGATGATAGCGGCTGATTGTGCCTATTACAGACTGTTCCGAGATGTCTATCAGAGGTGTGAGTGGAGTCTTGGGCATGTTGGACGTGAAGACTGAGTAGAGGATGGGCGACAGTGGCGAGCCCTGAGGGAAGCCGGCGCGTATAGGGAGGGGCGAGGAGAGCGTTCCTTAGACGCGATAGTGAAACGAGCGATTTGACAAAAAGTCCCGTATGATGAGCACGAGTCTTTCCGGTACCCCGAGTTTGCATAGCTTATAAATAAAGCCATTATGCCTGACTTTGTCAAATGCTTTCGCCACTTTGAAGAAAAGCGCACCTGCAGGCCTCGCGGAGGCTCGAAATAGATCACGGTAGTGGAGGAACTGCTCCGTTAGATGGTGCACTTGGTGGACGCACGAGAGTTTGGGATGGAGACCAAATTTTTCGTTCATAATAAGATTGTTCGGGAAAAGAAAATCTTTAAGGTGACTAGTGAGGCCACGTTTTTAAAGTTTTCCCAGCGTTTTGAGGAGACTTAAAGAGCGGTAGCTAGTAGGTAAGGCGTCGTCCTTATCGGGTTACCGGATCCCGATAACGACGGCCTCTTTCCACTCTGCGGGAAATATCGCGTTTGTCATAGCCGCGTTAAAGATCGAGGTGATCTAAAGGATCTTACTAGAGATTCCGTCTGGCCCGGGGGCGCTACGCAGGCGCAGTTTAAGGATTACTGAGTGCGAACGAACATCTACGTTGACCGGTTTAAGAGTGGCAGTGGGCGGTACGGAGGAGGACTATTCGACTTCCGAGTGGACTAACTGGACATGTTCGAGAGGGTCAAGCAGAGTGTTCGGTGAAGATACGGGTAATCGTACCAATGCTACCCGTAGCTTCCCTGAATGGGGCCCCTAGAGCTTCGAGCTCCATGGGGTCGATGGCGGTGGCGATCTTGATCGCGAGATCCGTATCAGAATCGCAAGAACCAAGGGTCATCGCTTTGCCTGAGACTGAAGGACCGGACACGGTGGCGAAGACGGGTTTGGTTCGTTGAGCTGCCGACGGCTGGGGAAAACGGGGCGTCCTTATGGATCAGAGAAGCGGCGGATTTATGCGCTGAAGGCGTGGGATAGGGGGCGGTTTGTGCAGAAAGCACTTTCGGTCGGGTTTGCGCTGAAGGCGCCGGACCCGGGGCGGAAAGCACGGAAAGCGCGAGAGCAGGGAGACCGTAAGTCTCCTTTAAAAATCTATAAAAGTCCGGTCGGGATCACTGAAGGTGCAGCAACTCCAACCTGGGCTCCGCAGTCACGGCCGCAGGTGCCATGTATCGAGCGCGTGTGAAGGGGAGGTGTGAGGGCGTCACACCTCCCCTTCCCCTCCCTACCGTGAGTGACAGGGTGGCGTGTGTCTCCTATCCCTAAGTCTCCCGACAAAGTGATTGCCGCGGGGTGAGTACCTTTACTTACAGAGTCCAGGCGATGGGCTGGCACAGAACACTACATCACACTAAATTTCACTGTACAATGACGGTGTACAACTGTAAAGAATTGGAAAACCAATGTGAAATATGACAACCTTCCCAATCAATTCCCGCAGTGATAACTGCGTCGAAAATTATAATAATAATAAATTTTATTTCAGACTAAAGTGTCCATAGTTTTGTTTTGTTAGTAACATTTTTCCTTAATCTATGTTAGTAATACATTTCAATTTAATAACCTAATCTCTTATATGGAGGCCCACCCAATGTTGGAGTAAAGACGACTCCCACCTATCCGACAACACGCACAGGATGCTGTTGGGGCTGGCGCGCAACCGACTGGGAAGCGAGGCACATCGCTTTCGGATAATGGCATGGAATCCATCGATCCTTGCCTCAGCGAATATGCCAGAAGCACTACTGCGACGCGGCAGCCCCATCAGCACCCGGAACGCGTTGTTGTACTGTACACGTAAAGCGTTGTAAGCCCTCTGCGTATAGTCAACCCAGAGACTGCACGAGTAGAATGATTGGCAGTATGATTTAAATAAAGTCAATTTCACTTCTAAAGTACTTCGCGCAAATCTCCGAGTCAACATGTTACATCCGACTGCCAGTGACCTCCTTTCCCTCTCCACGTCCATATTGTCAGATAAGTTCTCAGTGAGCCAGTGACCCAGATATTTGAAATGAGATACCCTATTTAATGGCTTTCCATTGAGATGTGCAGATGGTATCACAGTAAGGTCTTTTCCTCGCGTTTTAAAAACCATGATCTCACTCTTGGTAGTATTATATCTGAGTCCATGGGCCACCGCATAAGACTCGCACTTACTCAGTAATACTCTCAGTCCCCTTATCGAAGGGCTCAGTAGCACCATGTCATCAGCGTAGCTTATATTGTTGACACTGACACAACATATATGGCAACCGACCTTGGTACCATTGAGCCCGACTATAAGGCGGTTCATATACAGGTTGAAGAGCAATGGAGAGGTGATCCCCCCCTGCCTCACCCCACAGTCTAAGCCATACCCGTCAGAATGAACCCCTGCCCATTTCACATAATTTATTTGGTTCCTGTACCAATACCTTAGAAGAAATATTATCTCACTTGGTACAGTGGTCTCACATATCAGCTTCCGCCAAATTGAATCGCGAAAATCGTTATCAAGAGATAGCTGTCATATTAATATCAATACTAGGCACGACTGAATATAAAACTTTATTCAATACCTAACACATTAATCGTATGCACGTACAATATGTTCACCAAGTAGGTAAAACAAACGTTAAACTGAGTAAATAACGGAGCAATAGGATGTGCGGCAACCCGATTTATATATTACATCCCGTTGTGGTGTTTCCAATTAATATTTAATTCAAATTTCACACCAACTACATTGCGACAGGCTCCTGTGTAAATAAAATATGTTTGTACGTGCCAGTTCAAGAGATGAGGCTGGAACAACGGAATTAAACATATTCCTGCCAAATTAAATTTCGTTTTAATGGTCTTGGGGTAAATTTTGGAGCGTAGGATTTATTTCTAATATGTACTTAGTAAGACGTTAAAACGTGCGTATTTATTTATCTTTAAATCCAATGTATTTACAACTGCTATTTTTTTCAGATTCCCGCTGACAAACACGTGTTGTTAGCAGTAAGACAAACGAACAGTCACAAAATACATATCAAAGACCAAATAGTGAAGTATGATAGAAGCCAACGTGTTCTGAAGTAAGTACTGCATCTGTATAAGGCGTCGGCATAAGGCTGCTTTCATCAGAGTAGTGCGAGGATGCGTAGCGAAAAATGTGTTTGAACAAATAGAATCGCTTATCTCAGTCAGTACAGCGCTGTTGAAAACGGTTTAGTGGAGCGAAGTTTTTGTACAACAATACAAGCTAAGCATGTGTTCGAAGGACATGTGCTTTAGATGGAAAAAGTTCGCTATACAGCCTCGCACCGCTCATCTGCGCACCGTTTTACAATCTGACTCCGCGCATCTTCCTCGCACATCTAGGTGGAAATGCAGTCGTAAGGCCTTTTTACATACAAGACATAAGGCACGTGGACGGAACACGCCGTGAATTTAAAATGTATGGTGTTCTATGCAAAAATACAAGAGGTGGCACCCTAAACTTACCTTACATGTTAGGATTCAAAGCATTTCGTTCGTGTGCCTAACCCTTGCTAAATTAAGAAGTTACTAGGCGCATTGCAAAATAATACTTTGTCACAAATTGACAAGAAAATGTAAAAATAAGTCATCGCTAAGTATATAGATACTCACCAAATTTAGTTTGCCTTAATTTCCATATGCTCGCCATCACTTACTTGGTACCTACTACATGTCAGCCATTGCGTGTGAAAAGCCACTAACTTCTACTAGTACGGACTTTGAATCGGCTCATTGCCAATGCGATCGCCACCGAGTATCCGGAATAGACGAGTCGGAACGTATGAATGCATAAAGGATTCACAATATGTATGCAGATTGAATGCATGCGTTACATTTACATCATTAGTGAAGTGAACAGAATGAAAGTATTTCCTTGATTATAATTTGATTACTAATCGATAGGCACAACTACAACAGATATCTTTTCTTTCGTTTCATTTATCTTATACACTTATTTGTATTTTTTCGTTATTTGTTATCTACATTAAAACCTTATTAATTTTAATTTGGGTCTCAGATTAACGCAGATTATATTTGGTTTAATTAAAAAACTTAGCCAGGTAAATTTTCCATTCTTAACTTTCTACTAAAAGTTAAGAATGGAAAATTTTCCTGTACACATAAGAAAAGACGTGTTAATTAAAACTGGCCTGTTTGCATTTTATATTTTTTTTATAAAATCTCTTAAATGTCCGTGTCTACAAAATAATTTATTTTTATAAAGCTGATATAACTTATACAAACTGTCTGATATCTACCTACACACACTCACACATGCCACAGAAATAAGCCACCAACTACATCTCAATGGCAATGTGTAATCAAGTTGATGAAAACCAAATATTTACTTTATGTTGCTGTACGATACTACGATACAAAGTTGTAGACGTATTTAGCATGACAACAAGTTTGTGTTAGATACAATTTCTGCTTAAAGTAATAAACTGTTTTAACAAAATAATCTAATTTATTAGAGTAATGTTGGATCGCCTTTTCATTTTGTCTTACGGCTTACGTAGACGAATGATTTGAGTAAAGCCGATTATAGTCCAAAAAATGGATATTCAAGTACTATTAACGATAAGCAGGTCGTGTCATTTTCTGCATTAAGTTTTTTTGTTTTCAGCAGTAGCTTTTTGTATATCAACTATCGTAGGATCGCAGGCTACATGATATGTCATGCAGCTGATGCGACAGTACAATTAATTCATTCAAAAAAATATATGAATCGACTGAGTCATCTCGAACGTATTGTGAATACCGTCATAATCGTAAATTTTCACCAATATTTTATTGGTGCTCATGAAAACTCTTCAACGAAAATCGAAAATATGTCAGAACATCGCAACTGTCTCCGCTGCGAAGTTTTTACGAGAATTCTACTTCATTTACCTTCAAATTTGAAGGCGTTTGCGGCCAATTTCTTATTCATTGTGTAATCTGTGAATTTCATAAATATGAAAAGAATTTGTATTTGATGTACCTGCACCTTTAGGCAAATTAGCTTTGTGAGAATTCGTACATTTTTTTGTGTATGAATAATGTTTTCATATTTATATTATAGTCGTTTTTCTAAACACAAGGCTTTATTCATGAGTACGTTGGTAGCTAAACGTCACTTTCAGTTATTAAAGTACCTATTAAATATGATATGGATATCTAAATCTTAAACAAAGAGCCACTTACTACAACATTCTTAAATCAAATTTAAACTTAATCCTTATGGCGTTCTAATGAAAAATTCAAATGTAGACCTCCGTTACATTTTCTATACTTCAAGTTTAGAGACTCATGACAGAAATAAGGCTCTTCATCATGATTGAAAAGTGTTTTGGCTCAGTGTTATAAGCGACACAAATTAGATGTAAACAAAAAGTACTTTTAACTTCTTTAGACTGTCACCCTCAATAAATTCTGTTATCACGTCAAAAAAAGTATTATTAAGAGCTTGGAGTGCCACAACAAGTAGGTATCCTAACTTTTGTATGATTAGAAGCAAATTATTCCATGTAACAAACACGAAAATATATCTACAATTTACTTTGATGATATTAAAGCAACATTTGTATTTTGATCGATGTGTGCTCTGCAATGCTGTTTGCAGATTCTTTTTATCACGCCATTAAAGTTTCCAAAAAAGAAAACGTTAATTTTACTTCAAGTGTGACTTGAACTACATTATTTGACTTATTTATTAAACAAAATATGTACGACAAACTTCTAAGGCTGCATTGTTTCATACATAGTAAAATTTGTCTATAGTTAATGTTGAATTAAATAGATTTTAATATCTACAAAAGTTTGACAAATGGTTTTTATATTATTTTAACTATAGTCACAATTAACTATGGGTGAAACAACACCTTTGTATTAGATTGTCGGAAGTATATCTATCGATATAACTATTGCTACTTATTCCCTTTTATTTGTACATCAGGATATGGGACCAGTGTAACGTGGTGCAAGATTATTTAACGGTCTGGGACGGAGCTACAAGGGATTCGCCGGTGTTGGTCAGGCTTTGTGGAGGCGACGCAGTTCCCGATATCGTCAGCCGAGGGCCCAATATGTTGTTGGAATTTCACACGTCGCCGTACGATAACCCGTTCCATCCGGTGCCTTTGAGCTATCTACCTGGCTTCGAGCTTGAGGTGCAAGTGAGTATAACATCAGCTTTATTCGTGCCTAAGTAATGAAAACTTAACGGTCGAATGATTTGCTCAGTTTGATCGCAGTTGATTGAAAATTTTTTTGAATTCACGAATGGAATACGATATGGCCTCGTTTATTTTAAAGGAATTAGTATGTTATCTTTGAGTGTTAAAGACAAAGAATCAAATAATATATTATTCTGTTAAACCAGCTATACTCTAAGTGTGTTCCGCGGAACCCTAGGGTTCCGTGATACCTCTGTCGGGGTTCCGCAAGAATTTAGAAATAAAAAAATCAAAACACCTCTCTCTGGTCGCTCCGCGGCTGTGCGGACTCCGCGGCCGCGCGGAGACAAAACGCTATGAATGTTATTTATTTATTTATTTGTATTTGTATAAGCTTGTGTTACATTAGCTGGTACAATATCTCATAAGTTTGGTCTCAACAATTTTATACTTGTACAACGCGTTCGCTCTAAGTTTGCCGGTCTGTGGAATGCGCGTACCCTCCCCCACGTGACAACAAAACTTATAATGTGTCATAGTTTTACCCAAATATCTAACGTACACAATTTTTATTGTTACAATTAAATAAAAAATTTCGAACGTCATACACTCATACCTATCGCCAGCGGCAAACTTAAAACGAGCGGGTAGTATACTTGTAAGCGCTCAGTCTCTTTGATAAAAGCCGCCTCTGAATTAGACGCTATAGTTGTCAACTAGCGACTTTCGTCTCTAACTTCAAAGGATAAAGTCGATATTGTTTACAACGCTATTTTTAAATTTCTGTTTTTATTTTTGCTTTTTGTTTATCAAAGGTGCCGACTCGAGTATTTTCGAGAATATTTGAGATCGAGTCTAGGACTAAGTATAAAAGCGGCGATCGCGCGTTGGCGTCGTCAGTTGATGATTAGCGTTCGGAGCGATAAGTTACTACCTACTTACAAGCTCGCTAGCGAGAAACTGGTGTTCATTGTTTTACTGCCTGCTGTATTCTGTTGTCTCAGTTTTATACATTTCTTCCCTGTAGGTTCTAAATTTAGTCTCTTATACGCAGTAACGATTGTGCATTATTTAAACCCCACTATCCTGACTTGTAACATTATAAATAAAGAAGAATGGAACGTTGGCTTAAAGGTGTTAAACGTGTTCCAACAACATCTTCTAATGACGCTGAATGTTCAAAAGCAATGCGCGCGGAGAATTTAGCAATCACCGATCCAGAAGATGATGCCACGAGTGCCACGACGTCAAGCTCGACGGTTTCAAAGACGAAAAAAAGGAAGTATGATGAATCTTATATCAGTTTCGGATTTGTTGATTCCAACGGCTCACCTCTCTGCATGCTCTGTAGTAAACTGCTTCCTAATAGTTCCATGGCACCTGCCAAATTGCGTCGACATTTAGAAACCGTACACCCCGAGACTAAAGACAAGAATAAAGAATTTTTTGTTCGCAAAAAAGATCAGTTATTAGAAAGTCAAAAAAATATGATGCATGTAACACAAACTACCAACGAAAAGGCCACGGAGGCATCATACTTAGTTAGCTATCGCATTGCACAAGCAGGTGAAGCGCACACTATCGCTGAGAAATTAATAAAACCATGTGTATTAGACATAACAAAATGTATGCTTGATGAAAAATCTGCAAAGCATCTTTCTACTGTTCCGCTATCAAACGATACTGTTTCACGACGAATCCATGATCTGGCAAGCTACGTCAAACAAGAACTAGTTACACGTCTACAAAATACACGATTCGCTTTGCAAATGGACGAGTCGACTGATGTCGCTGGTTTGGCTATCCTGCTGGTTATTGTGAGATATCCATATAAAAGTTCTTTTGAAGAAGACATGCTTATGTGTTCATCGCTGCTTACAAACACTACCGGGGAAGAAATTTTTAATAAAATAAATATATTTTTTGAAGAACATAATCTCAGTTGGAACAATTGCATTGACATTTGTACAGATGGGGCCAAGGCGATGACAGGTAAAACAGCAGGAGCAGTGTCACGAATGAAAAATAAAGCGCCTAATTGTAGTTCCAGTCATTGTATTCTGCATAGACAAGCACTTGCGATGAAGCAAATGCCGTCTAATCTAAAATTAGTTATGGATGAAGCGGTAAAAATAATTAATTTTATCAAATCACGACCACTACAATCCCGATTGTTCTCATTATTGTGTGAAGATTATGGCAGCAAACATAAAACACTGCTGCTCCATACAGAAGTGCGATGGCTGTCTCGGGGAAAAACTTTAACAAGGCTATTTGAACTTAGAGCCGAGTTACAAATGTTTCTTTCAGCAGATACTTCTTTTAATTTGAAGGACCGTTTGTATGATAAAACTTGGTTGTTCCGATTGTCTTTTATGGCGGATATCTTTCAAAAACTTAACGAATTAAATTTATCATTGCAAGGTAAACAGACAACAGTGTTTCAGGCCTATAATAAAATAACTACTTTTAAAAGAAAATTAGATTTTTGGATCATTTGCATTGGTAAGAAAGAAATAGAAAGTTTTACGTTACTCACTGAGTTTGTTAGCGAAAACGACTCAGAAATGTTTGAAGATAATGTGTTTGAAGAATTGGTCCAATATCTCAGTTCGATGCGCGCATCTTTTGAAAAGTATTTTCCCGAAGAACACAATACAAAAATTAAAGTGAACTCCTGGATTCATAATCCTTTTTTACCCAACTTGGAAAAGCCTGAAAACATGTCAAATGAGATATATGAATCTCTTTTAGAAATGTCATCAGACACAAGTATGGAGTCATTGTTCAAAACGACGCCTCTTAATGATTTTTGGTGCAGAATCCAAGATGAATATGCAATGCTTGGCCAAATGGCTCTGGATATTCTTCTCCCGTTCCCAACTACATATTTGTGCGAAACAGGATTCTCTACCTACGCAGCCACGAAAACAAAATATCGCAATAGACTGGACGCCGAAGCTGATATGAGACTCCAACTTTCTTCCATCAAACCTGATATCAAGCAATTGATGAAAAATAAAAAACAGTTTCATACCTCCCACTAGTTAGATTTTTTCTTTTTTAATGTTTTCTATTATTGTCCTTACCAAGTGGTGAAGTAAATAATAATTAGTAACGGATACATTGTACTTTTATTATGCTGATTAATATAGAATACACTTATAAAAATAATTGTTTTATTGTAGGGTTCCATCAAGTATTTTGCTTCCCAAAAGGGTTCCGTCATTTAAAAAGTTTGAGAACCACTGTGTTAAACAATGTCGTTTTGTATTATGCTGTTACATTAGTCAACGATAAAACATACATGCTTAAAAATGTTTATTGAAATAAATTTGAGAATTTACGTACACCATTTTTTTACAATTCAGATACTTATAACATATACGACATAAGAGAAGAAGCTACAATATAAGAAATGTTATTAGTAACTGTATTAATATTAGTTCGATTGAATCGTTGCATCCAATCAACTAATCCATTACCACGTTACATTCGCTCTATGAGATCAAACTTTTTGAATGAAATTACGTCCAAGTTCAGATCATCTCGAGCTAATTTGATGAAACCGTTCATTCCGCGACCTTCGTAGAACGCAATCAATTTAATGGCTTTGAGATATTCCATTCAATATTCCATCCGTTTCCAAGTTAACCCTTGATTTAAATGCAGAATGTAGGAACTAAAGCGTTATGTCGCCTTTGATTCTGCGTCGGTTTGATTTAGATGTTATGTCTATTGTAACAAGGGTGCATTTTATTTGCAAGGTGCTGTACGTGGACAAAGATTCTCATTCGTACGTGCGTGCCGATGGGCGTTGTCGTTTTGTATTGCGCTCTTCGGATAAAACAAGTGGCGTACTGAAGAATCCAAGGCACTCACTGCCGCCTAACACATCCTGTGTGTACTATTTTCAGGTAAAGTAGAATCTGCAGAATATGAGATTATTATTAGTTTTATAAATATAATTTACCTATACATTTAGGCCAAATTGCACTAAAGCTCTTAATTCAAATTTATACAAGCTAATCATGTTAAAGCCTCATTCTATTTGACTTTAAACCATTGAAAAAAATGGAACGATGCCTTAAACATGATTAAGCTTTATTTGAATTAAAAACTCTGGGCTTAAAGCCAGCAGCGTTGAATATTTGTAAACTAAATTGTTACTACATTGTTGTTAATAGTCAAAGTCAGTAAAAGTGATGTGTAATATTAAAGTATTAAAAATAAAAATAATATTTAAACCTAAAGAAAATGCTACTAGAAAAATTTCACGTGGACCAGCAGTGCTATACTGTAAAATTTTCACCCACGCGGATCCACATCTGATCCGCGCGTGTAAATTTTACAGAATAGCACTGCAGGCAGCAGACGGTACTCGAATCCGCACCCTTTGCTATCCGGGCGATAGCACTGACCATTATGCTACCGCGGCCCTGATGGCCGTGTTGAGTTTTCTCTAGCCTTTCTTAGGCTGCAAGGCACCGCCAATCTCTTCGCATTGTTGGTATAAATAGAGAGAGGCCCAACCACGAGCTTTGATAGCTCCGTATTCGTATCGCAACTTTAGTTTCTATGAAAATTAAGCAGCCCTGAAGCCTGCGAAGCCCGGGAACCTTGCTAATCGATAGAAACACAATACCATTAAAAGGTAGTGTTATTTTACCGTGGTCTTCTCTAAGGTGGAGGTTTTTTCCCCAGACGGGAACTCCAGTTCGAGCGAAAAATTCGCTATGCCCTACCTATCTTAAATAATATATCGTTAAAAATATTCTTCCATTTGAAGCATCTCTGGGTGACCATTACTTAAGTTTCATAAAAAAAGGAAATAAAACTAAATTAAACTGCAAGAAACAACTTGGATACGAGAGTTTAACAATCGAGGAGTAACTTAAAAAGTTATGAATAAGTAAATGGTTCGCACTTATCATTACACTAAACTATCGCGGTCCATATTCCTCGCTTTTCGTTAGTTTTTACGAGTGCTTGTTGTTTTAGTGTTGTCCCAATGAGATTGTTTGTGTATCCTTTGTGAAATACCACACTGGAGGTGGAGCTCGATGGTGCAGGTAGTTAGCGCATTCGACCTGCGATCGTGAAAATTAAGCGACTTCCGCAATGGTCGGTCATTGGATGGGTGACCAAAAACTCATTATCTCGATCGCCTCCGTGCTTCGGATGGCACGTTAAGTCTTTGGCCCCGGCTGCTTCTGCAGTCGTCAGCACCCACCAATCCGCACTGGGCCCGCGTGCTGGGTCACGGCCCACTCTCCCTTTTCCATCTATAGGGAAGGCCTGTACCCCAGCAGTGGGGAAATTAAAAGGCTAATGATGATGAAATGTTTCCAACTTACCATTATACTAAACTATCCCCCTCCCTAACACAGTCCCTATTCCTCGCTCTTCTTTAGTTTTTACGAGTGCTTTTTGTTTAAGGGTCGTCCCAATGAGATTGTTTGGGTATCATTTGTGAAATACCACTCTGCGGGCACGGAGCCAGCAGGCTTTGATCAGCAAAAGGATTGTTCGTCCCAACTAACTATTTGGGATGGGGCTGCACCGGACGCAGATCTAGATAGAAAGGTGAGTTTATTTTATAATTTGGGGAAAACTGGCAGACTTGTCCAGGTAGGAGAGTTGAACTATCTTTTCAAAATTGTATTGAAATTTAGCGCAAACAAAACGTCAATTCGTTCATTGGTCAAATGCGAGACGCCAATCACAACACAATAATCTCGCATGTGACAAATGAATAAATTGACGGGCAAGTCTCCCGGTTTTACCCTACTTCTTCCGGATTAAAGTCAGTCTTTTAAAATCCCACAGGAATCTTAAAAGTTTCCTTGACAATCCGGGATAAAACGTATTATTTGTGTCAATATATGTGATAGACTATGTAAGTATGTGCTAAATTATTTCCACAACCGTTCAGCCGATTTAGCGTGAAAGAGTAACAAACATCGATTCAAGAGTTTGGGTGTATAATAATTAGTAGGATTACCTATATGTTTTTAATTTTATGTACATACTCGTTATTTATTCAAAATGCTGCTAGTTAATATCATGAGCTTTGTTAATTTTAAAGTATTTTTTTAAATACGACTACATTGTATTTGCCCAATCTGGACATTCGGAAGTAATGACAAAAGTATATATACATATTTTTTTGTTCTGTGGCTATATTTTTTTAAGTGATGGCAAACTGTCACAATTAACGTCGGGTGAAATAAAATAAGTCGATGCTTAATATATACCCACTAATATTACAAAGCTGAAGAGTTTGTTTGTTTGTTTGGTTGCAAGTGTTAATCTCATTTGTTTTTTTTTAATGGATAGTAGGTACATTTTATATGAAAAAAACATTACACTACGACCAAGACGGGCGCAGCACCAATGACAAATATTGCAAAAACATTGAAAAAAATATTCCATTTGAGAGTTTCCGTTGCGTGCGCTAAGTTACACAAAAAACATGTATGACAGTATTATTGCCCTTTTAAAGTTCTGTGAAACATTTTGCACAGAAAATGTCTATCTTTTGAGGACGACCCTCAAAAACCTTTTTCCTCGAAAAAAAAATCTCGGGGCACCTCTGTGTATGATATGGTGAATTCACTTCCGTAAAACTTAAAAAAATATGGTGACGGCGAGTTATATAACCTTTTAATAAGAATTAATTTCATTCGATTTCGATTCTTATGTTCTTATATCGTACTTCTAGAAATTAAATTTTAGACGACCTCCGTGGCCGAGTGGTTTATACATGGTATCACCGACTCGAGAGGTCCCGGGTTCAAATCCCGGTGGGGGCAGATATTTGTGTGATGAATACGAGCATTTGTACTCCAGTCATGGATGTTTAATATGTATTTCTATATAAATTTACTTATATAGGTATATGTACAAAATTTGTATTGTACCCGTTACCCTAGTATCCCATAACACAAGCCTTACAGTGCTTACTTTGGGCCTAGGCTAATTGGTGTGAGTGTTGGAAATATTAATTTATTTATTATTATATGTTTGAAAAGTAAATAAAAATGATAATGCCATAAATTGATTTTTTAAGTTATTACTAATTAAGTATTATTTATTATACTTATAAATATCTGTCTCATATAGTGTTTAAATGGTGAAAAGTTGAATATAGTACGTCCTTTATTTTTTAATAAACCGAATGCTATTTTTCGCTGACGGAAACAATAAAACTGCCTGTTGCGTTGTCTCTTTAAATCTATCCAAATTTTTTCGCCAGCAATTCCTCTAAGTAGCTGCCAAAAGACTGTGTCCACCGCAAATCCAGCCAATAAAGCGCCAAGCTTTAAAAAGTAGCCCACATAACAGCTCAACTTGCCTTCATAAAATTTCAAACTACACGCTTCGAAACGGGGAAATGTTAGCATATCGTAATGAAATGTGGATTAACTTGGGCGCGTTGAAACTTTTGCATTTCGGGAGAATAATGCGATACAGCGCTGAAGCGATATAAAATTTGGTGGCGTTCCCGGGTTTATTCGTACCATTTCACTTTGCCAACTACCCGGCTACCTCTACCCTCTTGACGTCGGCAGCAAAACATTAATTTTCTTTAATGTGTCTGAGCACTCTTACCGGGTTCCCAGTCGACTGCACTGCGGTGTTTCGTTCCATTCATTCGGAATTCTTTAGTTTTCCACATTTTATGCCTTAGTCGCACTAAGCTATATTCTAATATTATAATTATGTACCTTTTGCTTATAATCATATCTCATTTAAATTCTTACAATAAGGTAGAGATGATAACGGAGTAAAGTAAACGAAGTAAATAGATATTTCTATTTAGACCGTCAGAAGATTAACAAAAAATATGGAAGGTTTTTTTCTGTTGTCAATCAACCAAAAAATTACGATAATAGAGCGCGTCAAAATTTGGCAGTGGAGCTTTTGACGTCACTTCTCAGTAAACATTGTGCCAAGATGAGATATCATGAGTCATTTCAAATCATAATATACGAGTTATTACGATGCTGTTTCCAACGAATCATACTTATATATGCGAGTTGGGATAATTAAGCTGTGTACCAACAAACGCGATCGATTTTAAAATATAATTTGTAATAAAAATACACAGTATTTTTTAATGATATCTCCTACTACGAAATAAAAATATCAATAGGTAACTTGCTGAATTTATTATGGTGATTGGACACTTGCTTGATATGGTGATTTGACATGACCGTCCGTATTTTTTCGTTCAGTTTGATTAAAACCTACATTATCACTGTCTTTCCATTGATAAAAAAATAGTACCATATGCCATATTAAAAAGTATTAAATTTAATTATAGTTTCTATTAATAGTGACTGTATAGCTCTGGGAGTTATATTCTCTCTCGAACAAACCTAAAAAACTAATGCGGTTCGAGCATTCAATTTAGTTTTTGACACGTTAACAGTCCTGTGTGGAATTTATTTAAACAAGTCTATATACATTATTCATATTATGTGAAATCAGTTTAATTTCTCCCTCACCCGGTGTACAAAATCTCTAAGTTTTGCATTAAGAATGGATGGGTAGCTTAAGCTATTTTTGTGTTGTTGGCACTTTAATCAGGAAAGTTTCTTCTTCGGAGCACAGCTTTCAAATAAAACAGTGCATCCGCAAACACTAATGTCAATGCAAATCTAGTTTAAAGACTTAAAAGTTGTTTGTGGAATATATAACATTATATATGTTATATATTCAAACCAACTATTATTATGTAGGTATCGTACTTATAAATATGTCGACATTGCGACAACCCAATTAATCTTCATTTAATTTAAAAGGGACGATGTTAAAATTGAATTTACATTTCGCTTCCAAATCCGATCAACTGTGTTATCTGTACTAATTACTTGGAACCAATTAGTAATCTATTAATAATAATACTGAAATATAATGAACATTTTCAGTGACTTTTCATTTCGTCAGTTATTAATACTGCATGAATTTGATTTAATTGGAATTGGAAGCCTTATAATGATACCAAAGGGATGGAGTCTTACTTTACTCATTAGGCATGCAAACGAAAGACGACAGTCTCTTAAATGCTATTAAAATTTTAAGGTAGCTAAATAAGTCTACATATATTTAAGAAAGTTCAACATTTGATGTTGGATTGCGATAGAAATAATGATGAAAAAGCATCGTTTTTGGGTGATTAGGATTCAGGTTTGTTAGGCTTTACGTCTGAATGTAATCAAGCAATATAAACAACATATTCATCGTTTAAAACTTATAATTTTATAAACAAAAAACTATCAATGACATGCAGTATGACCAAGATATTTTGGAAGTTATATGACAATGTTGTTGATTCTAGCATGATTCTCTAGAATATATACCTAAACCTAATAGACCTGAACTTAAATTTGACAACAGTGTAGCCATGTCATTCTCTATACATAATGAAAAGAACAGAAAAATTAAAAATTTAGTTTTAAGTTTATAGAATCACGCCAGAATCGACACCATTGGCAGGAGGACGCTGCTTGTAATAAGAGATGCAAAAAGGATTACTAAGTACCTAAAATCTCCTAAGCAAAGGGAAAGTTATAATTTACAATAACTCGGAAAGAGTAATAGAAAACATAAAAGGCTTCAGAAAATTAGTTCAGATTTCGGCCACGCGTCACAAGACCTTGTTCGCACTGTACAGAATATTACAATGTCTATCACTAAGTAACACTGCCTATAGGAACAAATGAAGAGCTCTTAAAGTCCATATTACCTGAAGCGATTTTTATCCATCCCCTTCTATCAATATTTTTTTATTTTTTTGGGTATATTTTGGTATGTTCTATAAAGAGTCAAACATTTACATGTAGTTTTTGCTTGTACTTATGACTCTATAGGTACCTACCTAAATGGAAGCGTCAGTAATAAGTGGATATTTAAAATAATAATAATAATTTCTAGCAGCACCAATTAGCTTGAATTTATAATGTTTTCGTGTTTCTTTTTTTTGGCAGTTGGACATGTCGGACAAGAAATCTCTCCTGGGTTCGTTTTGCAGAGAAGAGTCTCCGCGTTTGTGCGACCACGCTTTATTATCTAACGCAACGAGGGCCACACGGCCCTGCGCGCCAACCGAAAGCTACATCACATCAGGATCTGCGTTAACAATATTACAGGTGAGTAAACAATTAGCGTGAGTTGCACAAACTTACTTTAACTTTATCTGTTCAGTTAAAGTACCGGTTGAGTAAAAAAACGGGTTGCATCATTTTACGATATTCAAAATTAGGTCATAGTTCGAGAGTGATTATAACTGTCCAAGCGAAGCCGCCGATTAAAGTTATAGTAAAAATTTAACTTTAACTGGCTTTATGGTGCGACTCCCACTTAGTGATACACTTACATCATAATTTTCTCCATCCAAAGTGCAATGTAGCACATTTAGTATTGTTAGTAAGTAATGCTTATATGACTTAATATAATATCGTATAAAATTTAAAATGTAATGAAATATCCCTATTTCCCATAGTATGAGAATGTCTTTACCGATTCATTCATCTTTTACAACCAGTTTAAAATGCACCACGTATTTTGTAGTTTCCACCAAAAAGTCTAAATTAGTATTTATTGCAGAAGTATTTTTTGGGCCTACAACAGCAATACAGATTTATCTTACACTGTCCTTTAAAGTATGATAATTACCGAAGTACGTTCAAGAGAACTTAAACTTGCTGCTCTGACACAAATAAGACAAAGCGGGAAGATTAAACTTTTTCCCGGACTGGGACACATTGGAGTTGATTCTGGCATAATTCTCTAAACATAAACTGAAATTTGACAACAGTGTAGCCTTTACATTCTCTATACAGAATGAAAAGGAGAAAAAGATTTTAAATTAAGTTATAACACCAGTTACTAGATAAATCGCAAGGTTCATCGGCACTCTCGGAAAAAATCATGATAACCACATCAACCGAATCTGTCTCGAACAATACTAATAATACATAGGTATGGCTTGGCATGCTTCAATCAAGTCATGCATTTAAATGTCGAAAATCACGAACAAAGGTTTAGTTACTATTATTATTATTTACAAAATTACAAATTAAGTTTGACAGTATTTTACATTGGTTATAGCATCATCTTATCTTAGTATTTTGTTAACTTTTCTTTAAAGGTAGGTAGGGCGAAAATCGTTACACATAATAAGCTATCAGTCCACATGATTTTCTTGGCCCAGGTCGGCTATTAATAAATTGAACCTGAATTGGTTAGATAAATCGAAAATACGATTTTCGTTTTATATACAAATATATAGCCTGCTTCTAATAATAAGGGTAATTATTTACAAATAATTACCTCGTTTGGTCAGGATTACCTCGTTTTATTGACACTTATTGTTGAGGGTCCAAAAATACTGCATCATACTCCGGGATAGGCATAGGCACGACCAACGACACGTGATAACAGCATATTTCCGATTTCTCATTTAAAAAAAAACAGGTAGGTATTAATAGTTTTAGATTTAATTATAGGCATACATCTATAATCAGCTCATGTTAAAGTAAACATGAAATTGAAATGAAAGATCTTATTAATGTTTCTTGTATGAAATTTAAAATATAAAGAATTTGGTAAATATTACTTCGTATAAGCCCATGATAAGATTATTCTCAAATAGAAAATATAAGTCACGTATTAACTCAAAACAAAATGGCCTCTGTAAAATGAAATAAAAATGAAAATCTGGTAATGTTAGCGGTTTAGCAGCAATGTTGAAACTGAAAATAAAAGGAGTTAATCAATATAGTATTAACTTGGCTCAATAGTTAATAAATATGGAATTTACTTTGTACAATGGCTCAGATTTGGAGCAAAAATAGCACTGGTTAACATCGCGTGTTAACTCGGGCAAAAATATCGATGGTCAATGTTGTCAATTATTACGTCATATTTTAATCCTTTCGATATTTGACCTTGATACTTAAAATAAAATGGGTTAATTAATTTTATATTAACTCGGCTCAATAGTTAATAAATATCGTATTAACTTTGTTCAATGGCTCGAATTCGGAGCAAAAGTAGCATTGGTTAAAATCACGTGTTAACTCGAGCAAAAAAAAAAGTTGGACAATGTTGTTAATTATTACATTATATTTTAATCACTTCAATATACTTCTTAAAATAAATCTCGAAGGTGATAACAGGATAATCCGACCTGGGAACAAAAACGTCAACGATTACTTTCTCTATCCTAGGAACTCTAACATTTCTATAAAACTATTGCAATAACAACTGTAATATTAAAATCAACACAAACTATTCAACGGCGTTTTAAACTTGGAATTCACAAACGGGGTTAATCTGCACAGATTGTACCAAAGTTCATTTCCAACTGACAATTATATGTGAGAGCTGCTAATTAAAGCTGGCAAATATTAGCCTTCCATTTCGTGTAAGGGGATACTTGCATATGCACTCAGTGGAACGTAGCAGAGTGCATGCGATTTTTTATACAAAACGGTGGACAAAGATCAATGTACGGTCTAGATATGGCTGGATGCCAAATTGGCTTACATGACTTGCTCCTACTAGCTATTAATTCCCGAAGACTCCTATAGGTACCTAAAAGCTTTTTATTAACATTTTTGTATATAATACTAACTGTGGTTAAAATTTTAGATATCTATGCATGAGTGAAATAAAATAAGTGACAATTGCATTTAATGTAACGTTATTCCATAAATAAAGCTGTTTGCAACAAGCGAGATACGCGCAGGGTCTAGGTAGCGAAATCGGTTCGTGAGAAGCCTGATAACTTAGCACAGGTGGTTTGTATCTGTAGCACCGCTATTTACACGTGTAATTGTATATTTAATATTCGTAATTTATGCCGAATAAATTAAATTACCTACCATGTTCCGCTATTGGGTTTTATAGAGCAAAGAACGGGAGATGCATACAGGTAAAGATAACTGGCAAATAAGAGGAGTCCATCAGTATCACCATTTCGTTAAAATATGATGTTTTAATGCTATAGTATTATCATATTTTATAGAAAGGGGAATCGTTGTTACCACCTAGACTATTTTAATAATTATTTTATATAATTGAATTTCGTTGCAAGATATTTGTGTAGTTCTTGCTCCAGTATATATTTAAGTATTATATTCAAAGTATTTTTCCGTATGCAAAATGCCCTTCACTAATGTCTAGTGTACCATTCTGCAGTTTCTAATTCTCTGGTTGTATTCGGAACTTTTCTGCCCGGTGTAACATTCATCCTGCAATGTAGATAAGTCACGCGCGCAGAGTTGCATTTGCCATAGTGAATAATGCAAGTGGAACGTGCACAGTCTAAAGCAGACAAGTAGGTCGTAGACATTTGGACTGTGATATATAAGTTTATAACTCAAACAGCCACAAATTATGTATGACGTTACGTTCACGACATGATGGAAACGGTAAATGCAAGATAGTAGTTTATTGGTACATGGTTTGCTATCAATTCAAACGGATTAATTAGGTTACAATTAAAAACCTCACAAAAATGTAATGGATAATAATAAACCCATCTATTACATAATCGTTATCTATACATACACATAATAAAATGGTAGTTAAGTCACAACTGTATATTGAATATTTTTAAAAGAATACTTGGGGTGTGATCTACAATCGATACCGAAGCCAAAAATATAGTTTTTAGAATGTTTGTCTGTTTGTCTGCATGTATGTCCGGGATAAACTCAGTACTGCATGGATTTACTTCAAATTTGGCACGAATATTATTAAGAAGCCGGGTCAACATATAGGCTAGGTATTATCACGCTATCACCTACGGGGAACGAGCAGTGAACCTTTATTTCTTTAACGCATTATATTCAAATAACTAACTCCATGCGTACGAAGTCCCCAAATCGAACGTACGAACATCTCACATAATAGTGCCAAGTAAAACAAAAAGCAAAATTTTGGTATTGAGTTTTTGAAGTTATACTTCTTTAGGCGCGTTATGAAAAAATGATGAGAGTGAAATTTTAAGATGCGCGCGCATCACTGTAACACAAAATTTTAACAGCATGAAGTTGGTCGCTAAAGCGACTACTTTTGTGTTTACCGCACATTAAGAAAATCTACCAACAAAATAGAAATAGAATCTCTATTTAGTGGGTGCTAACGACTGCATTGTGAAGGCCTATCAAAAGTATTTATTAATCTGGAACAATGGAACCAAAGCGCGATTCAGGAGACTACAGCGCCATCTCTTGACCATTGGTGTAGTAGAACCAAAAACCACAACTTTATTTTTTGTAATAAAGTAACAGTTATAGGTATTCATATTTATAATATCAAAAGTATTTATTAATCTGGAACAACGGAACCAAAGCGCGATTCAGGAGACTACAGCGCCATCTCTTGACCATTGGTGTAGTAGAACCAAAAACCACATCTTTATTTTTTGTTATAAAGTAACAGTTATAGGTATTCATATTTATAATATTTTTCCACATGTTTCTAGTTTGTATATTCGGAATACGTGTTTGAGTTTCATACAAGTGCAAATCACATATGTTCTAATAAATTATATTCAGTAGCGATTTTAATTGAATATTTTTATTATTTATTTATTTTTTCAAATTAAAACTGAACTTTATTGACTGTGTCCTTTTCCAGACTTTTTATTAATTTATTGTAATTAATTATTTGCATGCAATTAAAAACTAATTTTAAACGATGCCAAAGAAGGATAACTTCTCACACGCCTACATAAGTACACGCACCCATTTTTTTTTTATTTTATTTATTTATCTAATCAATCAATATTACAATTATAATACATATTATAGTGCAAACAAAAACCAGAAAGGTTTATTCGTGAAATAGTGCATATTGAAACAACGGTGGGTAATATGAATCTACCATGCATGAATGAAATTAAGCTCGCTGGCTAAATGACGTAAAATAATACATATAACAGCCCTTTAACTTCAACCTCCGATGCCTTTCAATTTAAAATGCGAAATTTTATTTCCATGTAATTTATGAGTGAATATCTTCAATTTTATTTTCTTAATATTAAAGTGAAAGGTACAATATTCTTGCAACTAGTTGTAAATTATTTGTGAATCCAAATATAGTTCTACCAAAATCACTAAAATTGTCTGCTCAAGAAGAGATATATATATATATTATGTCTAAGTTTTGTCTTTGTACTTTCTTTAATTCTACGAGGTGAAGAGTCCATCGAAAGTATTAGTTCTAATACTTAATAAGAAGACTTATATAGTGGCCCTAAAAATAGCGCTTTTGCCAAGATATTTTTCTTTGTAATCATTTGTAGTTTTTGGAATTCTATTTTTCTCTGGAGTAGTGCAGGAGTGGAGTGTGAATTGTTTCACAATAATTTATAATCAGCTTAAGAGACGCTTTTTATTTATCTGTAGCAAATCTTAATTTGATGTTTTGAAGAAAAGTAAATTGGTAATGTTAAATTACAACAAAGTAGATAGTTACCCGAAGATAGTCCGAAAAAATTACACTACACTAAAACCACAGTAAAAGCAGTTTCAGGAAAACTTTAATGTTCACAATATTAAAACAATTCTTGTAGGAGAGCCTACGATATTTTACCTCATATTTTAACTTATTACTGAAATATGTGTCTTTGGATGGCACTTACGGTGAGTGAATCAATACTGTAATCAAATTATTAAGTTTGAAATACTACCATATTTCGCTCTTAATAACGTGACTTTATATCCATGTAAATGGTTAAATTAAAACGTGTACATATTTTTTAGACAATATTAGTGAGGCGTTCAATGTAATATTAGTATGCAAGTTGACTTTCTATAAATAGTGGTGCCCTACTTTACTATAGGAAAGACTTACCAGTAAGTCTTAAGCAAGTCGTTAAAGTCACTGGAAGCGGACTACTTTATTATTCAATATTAAATTCAACAGAGCAAGGACTCGGGCAAGTTGCTAACTAAATATTTGAAGTTTTACTACGCCACGTAGTCTTGGTTTACGCCGGCGACCTTGGAGATGTTTCTGACTATAAAGCGGGTTACAGGCGCCCCAACGAAATGAGTTCTTGCGTTGCAATAATGCTCCAAATAGTGCTACATTGTCAATTGTCGACCTCCGTGACCGAGTGGTTTGTACGCCGGATTCATGGTGTCGCCGACTCGAGAGGTCCCGGGTTCGAATCCCGGTGGGGGCAGGTGTTTGTGTGATGAATACGAGCATTTGTACTCCAGTCATGGATGTTTAATATGTATTTGTATATACATATACTTATATATTTACAGTGTAATTATTCTATCCGTTATCCCATCATCCCATAAGACAAGCCTTACAGTGCTTACTTTGGGCTAGGCTAATTTGGTGTGAGTGTTGGAAATATTTATTTATTATGTACTTGTCGTTTCTGCCAAGCAGAAATATTTTCAAACTAGATTAATAAATCTATATTTTGAACATGTAATTAAATAAAGATGGGATGAGACGATATGCTGCTTAATCTATAAAATTTAAGTACATATACTAGGAAAAAAATATCTTCACACCGAATAGGAAGGGTGTGTGCATAATTTTATTTAATTAAAAAAAAATCAGGATGAGTTAGTTAAGTTAACAGATTGCACCCGTACTACAATTATATATTTTAAGCATTTGCTTAATAGTCATTTAAAATTAACTTATACTTTATATTAGATTTCACGACCACTAACAAAGAGACTTGACAAAGTTAAAGCTTCGATGATTTAACATCGCAAAGATATTGTCAAATGGCATAATTATGATATAACTTTGTGAATTGGTCTTAAATAAGTTCCAAGAGATGTAAATTTTAAGTGTACAGGTTTACATTTGGGTACAATAATTATAGTGTGACGCAATAAATGTAATTTTAATTTGGACGTAAAACTAGACCAGACTTAACAGATCATGCAGTTAAAAAATATATAAATTAATTTGCCACTTAGCCCTTTGCGAGTTTATTATGTTAGCTATGCCGACAAAGCCATGTAAAATTAGATTACTCGTAATTGATTACTTCGTTTTAGAATCCTCTTAACGTTGTTTAATCACAATTTTTGAGAAACACCTACCACGTAACATACTTAGAAACCCGAAATGGTCCCCTTAACAAGTCCCGTTACAAAAACATTATTTCCCCATTTTTATTTAAAAAAAGATTGAATGCGTATTCAATTAATCACAATCCCGCAGGAGCTCCGTCAAGGGTCAGCGTTGTACCCCGTGTCGTTCCTACTTCGCTACGAGTTCGTGGACGTGAGCGAGCAAGGACAACCCCTAGTCGATTCCCGGTCTGCTTGCGACAGAGTATTCAAATCAGCCCAGACCTACTCCGGGAGATTCCAAGCTCCCAGAGCAATATTCTACTATGGACGAGGCGGAGCGCAAAACCTCACTTGCATTTTAAGGTAACGGATTTTTTATTAGCATGTTTTTGAGTTTACATTTTGTTTTCCTATGTAATAACAATATATACCCACTCATAAAGACTAAATATATAATATCCTAATAAAATAAAATTGACTTATTTAAAATTTTGTTAATTTTTTAAGCCATCCAAAATAGCTACGCATTATATATAATTATGATTTATCCATGCCCTAAGCAAATGATACTCAAATAAAAGTAAATAATGAGCCTAACCTCTCCTTTGTCTACAGATTTGAAGCCAAACCCGGAGAAAGGGTACAGTTGACTTTCACGAGCACCTACTTCGGGAACAAACATTGTAGTACTCATAAAGATTCGCGGACAGGACGATGGAAATGTGATAGACCAGCAAAACGGAGTATAGGAGGCGAAGGACTTGCTCAAATAATAATTACCGAATATCCCTGGGACGGGGTACCTATACAAAGAGATTGCTTGTGTACAAATCGATCGGATCCTCTTAATGTACATACTCTTACCGCTTCGGTTGTCGAGTTAAACTTTACTGTTACTATGATGAACATCACTGAAGATTACGATGACTTTGCTTTTGAGGGTGAGTACAAATTCGTACCCACTGGACCAGGGGATGAGACTGTTTGCTCGACTGGTTGGGGGAAACGGCAACTCAGGGGAAGCAGTGGGGAAATCCGATTATTCGACAAAAGACAAACGCATATAGCCCCAGAAATAGTAGGAGATAGGAACGTTATATCCGAAAGTGTGAGAGCAGAGGTTGCATGTGTTCACAGACCATGGCTAATCGAGCCAGGAGGCGATGAAGTTACTCCGATACAGGGGAGATATCTTTATGTCAAAGTACCTGGTTATGAAATGACGACTACCTCACCGTTTTGTCCGACACCTAATAGGCTCTTCATATATGAAGCTAAGGACACTTCCCACTATCGCGAAGTATGCCCTGATGGTCCAAATTCGTTGGAATTATTCTCACCAGGCTGGTTATCTGCTCAAACTCCTCTTGAAACTACACTGAAACCACATGCTCGTAGCTACGTAATCGACTTTTTACAACATGAACAAGCTGATTATTCTATCAAATGGATAGAACTAATGAAAAAACCTTCATATGAGCCGGACCCTGAGTCTAATTTTCTACCAGTTACAGCCTCCCTAGAATGTCGATATAGGTATGTATGATCAATACTACTAATAAATTATTATCGTAGTTTTAATAAAGTGTCTAACCCATATTTTTTTTCTTTCGTAGCTGTCCGGAACTAAACGCTTGCATACCAATCGCCCTGTGGTGTGATGGAAGCCCGCATTGCCCTTCTGGTTACGATGAAGATGACTCCAATTGCTCGTTTAGAATATCATTACCCCCACCATATGTTGCCGCGGCTGCAGGTGCTGGTTTACTACTTTGTGCGGTTTTAGTTGCTTTATGTGCATGCCGGCGACGTAGAAGAAAAGACGAAGAATTCAAGGCACGGTTAGACGGCGCCTTGCCTCCGGAAGAAAGGCCGTATGATCGAGCCAAAACTAACGGGGTGCCCGAGGCGGCACGTCAGTACGCCACCGTTCAAAAGTATGCCACGATAGATAAGTATAGCCTAAGCCAGAAATATAGCGCCGGTTTGAACGATGCAAGATACTACGACGAAGTGGCACAAAGGGATAAGCTCGGAGATACAAGGTACGCTAGCTTAGGTCGGGCGGGCCGAGGCATGCGCGTAGACAACTCGAGAGGCACTGGTTCAAGGAGAGCGATGCCTGACCTCGGTTATCCAGATCTCAAAGACGGCTTTTGTTGACCCTCTCCGGATTTATTAGAGACGACTGTGTAGTAACGAACAAGCAAAATTCAGACCTGTTCAGAGATAGCATTTAACGTGTTTTTGTGTAATATTAGAAAAAAGACTGATATGGCGAAAGTGCCTCTCAAAATTTTGGTCAACAGCACACTTGATATCATTTAATATGTATAAAAAGCAAAAAAAGAAACAACAATAAAGGTAACAGCTGTCAAGAATGTAGAAATTGTAAATAAAGATAATTTTAACGATAATCTTACTAAAACCACACTGGAATAGTTTCTTTTACATTGAAAGTCACAATTTTTATCTCATCAATTAACATATCTATGTACATACTATATATGACAATACAAGCTTATTATAAAAGGTCCTACAAAAAATGTTAGTGAAAATATTCTTAACCAATATCTGCATAAATAAACGTATGGTCATACCAATACATAATTCCAACTTCCGTTTCTATCACTGTAACATGTTTTGTCTGTTTTAACCATTAGGATGTTATTTTACTAAAATGTGAATAAGACATTTATAACTATTATATGACAAACTTTTAGACGTAAGAATGAAAATGTGATATAGGTGTAAAAAACAAACTTAAGCGTTCACGAACTGTATGACATTATAATTAAATTCTTTGTGTATAAAACTAGGAAATATAAATTGTAACTATGATTAGCGAACAATTGTAAATAAATTATAGAAATACGATTTTTAAAGTCTGTAATTATTTCCAAGTAAATGGAAAATTAAAGTCATTTCTAAAAACATCGAACGACTTTTATTTTTGAAATTTTTTCGTACTCGAGATACCTGATTTTTTTTTTCGTTTTGAATGCTCACATAAATAGTTATCTGTCTAATAAATTATCATTCAATGAAACAGAAAATAAATTTTCAAAAAAAAAATTACATGAATAGCAATTTAATGATATCAAATATCAGACAAAGAAATTTTAAGCTGAGGATTGAAAAAATTGCCCTTAATCGATCAAGAGTCATAAAACAATCACAAAAATCAATTTAAAATCAATGAGAGGAATTTGACGATTGATACACACGAATTACACGGAAGTTTCTCCCAAGAAACGAGCTCTATTCAAAGTTGAAAATTGCTAATTGAAAGTATTTACGTAATGTTTAACACCCCAAGCTGCGCAGGTATACAGCACGGCTAATTTGTATTTGTCTCGTCGGATAATTGAATTATAGGCTCACGCTGCATTAGTCGTCCACTTCGTTGGGCTAACGAGCGCTGCGCAAACTAAATTATCTGATGAACTAATTAAAGCCTGGATCGTAACAGGACTTAGGAAACAACAAGGATGTAGTGACTTCGCAAGCGGGTGCTTAGCGATTGCAGTATGTAACTAGGTATGTTGTAAGTTGATACTTGGTATGTAAAGAAAATGACACATGCTTAACGTGATTGTAAATGAAAAAACTAAGATAATTAAAGTTGAAATGTTGGCATTTGTTTAAATTATTTATATTTTAAGGGTCTTGAAAAATACTTACTTATTTCGTCATCATCAGCCTATTAATGGGCCTACTGCTAGGGCACAGGCCTTAGGGGTGGAATAGGAAGATTGGGCCATGACCCACCACGCTGGCCCAGTGCGGACTGGTAGGTGCTAACGACAGCAGTTGCAGCCGGGACAACGGCTTAACGTACCTTCTGTAGCACGGATAATAAGTTTTGTCACCCACCCAATGACCGACCAATGCGAAAGTTACTTAACTTACACGATCGCAGGCCGAACGCGTAGTCCACCTGCACCATCGAGCTCCTTGTATACTTATTAAGGAGATATTTTAAAAGTAGAAAATGGACTAGTATTATTTATTAAACGAGAGTCTTAGTACTATGAAAGCCCTAAAGGATCTGTAGTTTCTGTGAACTAAAAGACATATATTCACTCAAATTACATTTATCTCTTTCAGTTCGATGATAGTTCCCAAGAAGCCCAGTACAATTCTAGCTTATAGAGATTTCGTTGTTTCTGAACGTATTAAAGATCCCAGGTCAATACTTCCTTTGTTGATTAGAAGTTTACATTAACGTACATAGGAATGATTTTAATACATATAAAAATAAGAGAACTCTATAACCAATGCATTAAAATGTAAGTTTCGATATTGTTTTAATTATAAATAAATATTTCCAACACTTACACCAATTAGCCTAGCCCCAAAGTAAGCACTGTAGGCTTGTGTTATGGGATACTAGGGTAACGGATACAACACAGATACTGATACATAATATAAGTATATTTATATTGAAATACATATTAAACATCCATGACTTGAATTTAAATGCTCGTATTCATCACACAAACATCTGTCCATACCGGGATTTGAACCCGGCGTACATACCACTCTGTCACGGAGGATGTCCTTTTTTCTTGAGGGAGGGAATTCTTGAGTTACTTTCCTACAATGATTCAATACCCAATTTTAGCAATTAATCCAATACCATACGAACCAAAGAGAAAACCTAAAGAGTTATTCTTTAAGACGTCACGTTTGATTTGTACTACCGAACAAGTTAAATGATCCATCCATGCATTCTATCATATCTTACATCCTATTACTAAGCGAAAATTTTAATTTAGTTTGGGGCGACGATGTTAATCTGTATAAAGATTGAAGAAAATCTATTTTCTGTAAACCTACAGTCTAACATTCACTGAGTACGCTCCAAGAAGAAGATCTTAGAGAAAAAATGTTGATTGTTACGATATTTTTTGGCATCACCCCGTGTCGAACACACATTCCGAATTTCCATATCTAAATGGAAAACGGGCCCGTAGAATCAATTTTGTTCTCACATTCCATTTGAAAAGTGCACCTGTCTGTTGATAAATATTTTGTATTTCTGTTAAAGTTCTGAATGGATAGTGGAAAAACTAAAAACAAATGAATAGTTGAAAAATATTGAATTTTACATTCCAATATTTAAAGGAGTTTGATGCCTGGGGTCGTAGAAGTTGAGAAACTTTGAAACTGGCCGGTCATAGGATATTATCATCTCCAGCTCCTTCGCACTGTGGAAAGCACGTTAAGCTATCGGTCGTGGCTGCATTTATGTATGTGTTAGTGCCTATTTATCCGAACTAAGCCAGAATAGTGAAATATGGTCCGATCTCCCTTATCCATCTATAGAAAAAGCTTGTACCAGAGTAGTATGTAAACATACATAAATATATATAGGTATATATATATACTGTATATATACTGTACTGTATATCTTATATATAAAATTCTCGTGTCGCGGTGTTTGTGGTTAAACTCCTCCGAAACGGCTTTCCCGATTCTCATGAAATTTTGTGTGCATATTGGATAAGTCTGAGAATCGGACAACATCTATATTTCTTCCCCCGAAATGTTAAGGATAATCCACCCCAAATTTTTTTTCAAGAATACGAAATGAAATCATTGAGTGCCTCCATTGGTCTCTGATTGATATTCCAATAATAATTATAAGATCACCTTTACTGAACAGCATTATAACGTTGCCTTACCTACATCTAATTTACCATTCACAATTTCCGGAGCGTACCTACACGTTTTGAAAATGAAATTTTGTGAGAGTGCAAACAGGTACATAATTTCAGTTAACTCGACGACCTATAAATTGATATCCGAAGCAATCTGCGCCTCTGGCGAAATGTCATGGATGCATAACCGTCCTTGAAACCAAGAATATAAAAATTGCTTGAATGTGATTGTAGATTAATTATTATTATATATTGTGGAATTATAAAGTATTACTTAATTTAAATTAAAAATAAGCTTCTTGTACAAAGGGTATTATCGCTTAAGGTTTAAGAGATAATGCGATTACTTAGGTCGAGTAAATACTTAACTGAAAATCCACCTTTATAAGCAAATACTTATACTGAAAATTAGTATAAAAAGGCATCATTTTTTTTTTAATTGCCTAGCGGATATAAATATTCTCGGGGAATTCCAACTACAACTTTTACAGTTTATAAAACACAGTGAATGCTGATACAATAGATGGATGACTTAGGGCGAAAGCCACAACACTACGTTGCACGCCGCACAACGCATCGCGGAATTATCGTGATGCGCTGCCGGCAGTTGCGATGAATTCATATTTCGATGCGAGTGTTATGGCCTCGCTATAAGTACTGTGTTAAGCATGTTAAACAAATACTACTTGTTTTATTAATTACGAATTTTAAAATTATTATTTCAAGCGATGTGATTCTATTATATTCATAGATCCCAATATAGTTATTCGCAGTACATAGCTAAGCCGAAATCTCAAGGAATTATCCCTTTCAAAACTTTACAAAACCAAATTACGATGTAATCTCGGCCCCTGTTACGATACAATCAAAATATATAAGAATTTATTCCATTTTGGAGAATATTGAAAAGCGTAATATCGTTATTCCTTTGTGTGAACAAACTTTGATTAATTTACTTTAATCTGAAATAACAAAGTATGTCTCTTGTATAAACCTGATAGTTTTGTTTGAGAAGGGAGTATTTAATATTTGTAATTAATAATTCTTGTTTGAACTCCACCAGTAGGTATACCTTGATAGTAACATAGACTGAGATTGCTCTTAAAGGTATTAAAATTGTAATAATGTTTCAGAAAACTCTTAATCAAAAGGAAATCATTTCAACAAACAATATAAGCTTTCAACAAATATCTTGGTTTGGCTGATTTATTTCCTATATTTTTATTCGAGTGTGGCAAACAACCATACCTATTAAGGCCTGCCAGATGCGGGCACTTCACCTGGCTATTCGTATTTGCTATTTATAGACTCGACAACAGTTTGTCCTTATCATGAAAATACATTATTAATCAAGGAAGTAGGGCACAAAATACTTCTTCAACTATTTGGTATTCTTGTCTGGGGGAAGCACCAATTCCACTTACAGAAGACCGCAATGAGATAACACTAGGGTCAAGTGAGCTAGAACACAACAAGGGGCTTAGTGTAACTTTAGGAATATCTCTACCCTTTTCATATTTGTCTATGGTCTGTTTTGGTGTATTTTATGTAAGTATATAACTTCATTTGACTTCATTTACTCCATGAGAAATCTAAAATACAGATTAATGTTATATTCACAAATAGTAAATACGAACACCCAAGTGAAGTGCCTGCATGATGGTAAGCGACTAACAAGTAAGCTACCAAAATGAGAGTAACGCGCATCACCAAACCTGATCCCATCATCTAACCTGTCCTACTGCTCTGTGAGGTCTGGATATGCTTCTGGATATGTTTCTGCCAGTAAGTATGGTCATACTTACTGGCAGAAACATATCCAGAAGGTAGGGTCCTGTACGAACGCCTCTTTCCACCCTAGTGAGGCTAGCGGACGGAGGACAGGGTGGTCCGTTGTCTGCATTTCACAGTCTCACCCGTTGCGAGGAGAAGGAACTCCTGCCAGGGGTAACGTGGAGAGTCACCAGGATCCCACGAAACCCGTTCCGGCAGACGAGTAAGCACTCTTGGGTTTTTTGTGGGTAGGGCCTCCCCCCTCATCCCGAGCAGCCGCCAAGCCAGTCTGGCTGAGCGAGTGGGTGGGATTTGGGGGAGGAGGAGTCCCTCATATTCACGTCACACATTTTCCCAACAATAAAATAAAAGTTCCTGTGGGGGACACTGTAACAAGGGGCACAGTGTAAATTAAGAAAGAATATCTCTGTATTTTTACCCGGCTATTTGACGTCTGACGACGAACGGACGCGAGCTGATAGGTATTTGAAAA